CGGCAGCAGCGTCAGCTTGTCGAACCGCGCCTCGTCGGCCACCCGCTCCACGTCGGTGCCCGCCGAGGCCGCCGGGAGCGTCTTGCGGTACTTGGCGGGGATGACGTCCGAGAGCTGCTGGCGGATCGACTCGAGCGCCGTCACATCGACCTCGTCCGAGTAGGCAAAGTGGGGGACCGCGAGCGTCGAAGTCATGGCGCGGAACATGGCGCGGCGCACGGGCGAGAGGTCCTCGACTTGCGTCTCGGAAGCCGGCGCGGATGGCGCCGATGCGGACGAAGACGATGGGGCCGCCGATGGTGCCGGACCCTTGCTGCTCGCCGGACTGGGGTTCTCGATGAACCTAAGCACGTCCTCCTTGGTGATCCGCCCGTCCCTGCCCGTGCCCTGGACGTCGGCGAGGTCGATGTTGTGCTCTCGCGACACCCTCCTCACGGCCGGCGTGGCCAGGATCTCGCCCTTGTCCCTCTTCTGGCTCGGCGGCGTGGCGATGAAGCCTTCGAGCTCGACCTTCTTCTCGCCGACCTGGCTGTCGTTGGTCGGTTGCTGCGCCTCGCCCTTGAGCTGCCCAGACTCGGCCTCGGGCGGGGTGGAGCCCTGAGAGGGCGCGGCGGCGCCGACATCGTCTTCGACCTCGGACTCGACCTCGATCTCGCACAGCGGCGTGCCAACCCTCGCCACGTCGCCCTCGCCGTACATGAGTTTGGTGACGACTCCGGCGTAGCGCGAGGTGATCTCGACGGACGCCTTGTCCGACTGCACCTCGCAGATGGGGTCGAACTCCTGAACCGTCTCGCCGGCCTTGATGAACCTGTCGGTTGCAGCAGGTGCGCAAGCGGGTACAGGGGAGAATCAAGATGGAGCAGGGAGGTCAGCCGTGAGGGCCCGACTAGCTGGACGAGGATGGCAGAGACGCAGGCGGCTCCTGGCGCATCACTCACCACTTGACGACCTCGCACTCGGTGATGCCCTCGCCGACGTCTGCGAGCAGGTAGGGCTTGGTCTCGGTCTTTCGCGTCGGCTGGCGGCGGCGCGGTGTGGTTGCAAACGCCCGCCTTGCCGATGCTGCCGAGGCAGGCCATGTCGTCCTGCTGCTCGATGGGGTCTGAAGACGAGATCGGGCGAGTTGTTGTTGTTGTTCCTGCCGCTGCTGCTGGTGCTGTGGTTGCGCGTGCTGAGTGCGAGAGGCCTGGGTCAGAGTGCGGACGCTGTGTCGCTGTCCCGCCGTGGCCGCCGAGGAGAGCAGACGGCGCGACGTCGAGGCGCCGGATCGAGAGTGGAGCAGCATTTCGGCCGTGGATCCGGATGGCGTTGGGAAGAGAAAGGTCGGCGGCGGGGGATGGACAAGGCGCTAGGATGACGGTATGCAGCTGGAGCGAGAAGGAACGAAGGACCGACGATGCCGCGGCGGGTGACGAGCTCTCGCCAGGGTTTTGTATGGGATGGACGGGGCCCGCTGTGCGCTCGACGTGAGGCCAGCGACAGACGGATCGAGCTTGGCTCCGCTTGGCCTGGGCGTTGGGATCTTTTGCGGGGGCAGCGGCGACGGCAGCAAAGGGAGCGAGGAGAGGATTCCAGCAGCCGCGCGGAGAGAGGGTCGAGAGTGAAGAGAGGCAGAATTGAGGAGGGAGGCGACGTCGGTCGGGTTTGCCGGTCTGCCCACAGCGCCGAGAGCAGGGCAGGGCAGGGCAGGGCAGGGCAAGCTTGGGGACGTCACCCACCAGCACCAGCAGCCAAGGGAAACACGCAAGAAAAAGTTGGGCGGATGGTCGGTCGGGCAGGCGTAGGCGTGGCTCGATTTTGCGGGGCACCACCACGACCGACGACGCCGACTGGACCGCGCATGCATGCGGGGGAGGGTCACCCCCCGGCTCGGGGACGTCGGTTTTGTCGGCCGGCCAGCCAGCCCAGCCCCGGCCCTGGCTTTCCTCTTGGCCCCTCCACAACTTCGCCCCCTCGCTCCCTCGCACGAACCACCCTCTTCGTTTGCTCTGGCCTCTCTTCCACCTCGACCACCACCACCGCCCATCCTGAGCCCCATCTCAGGTCCGCCTTCTGAAGTCAAGCCTTGGACTTGGCCGCCGCCGCCTTGGACCGGAAAAAGGCGCCGTTGCGCTGCGCCACGCTGCCAAAGCGCTCGGCCACAACCGCTTCCTTGCCGATCCACTTTGGCAGCCGCTCCAGGATGTCGCGCCGCCCGTAGCGCCGGTCCAGCAGCAGCAGCGACGCGTAGTCGTCCTTGTGCCGGATCGCTCGTCCGATCGACTGGTTGACCGCCTTCATGCACAGGTTCGTATACAGCTCGTTGCCCTGTCGACGCCGGCGGCCAGGACGGAAACAAAAGAAGAGAGAGAGAGGAGGAGCGGGATGCGTCAGCTCGTTCTTCCGTGCAAGTTCGACTCGGAGATGAGGGGCACGCTCTGGTGCCGCAGCACTCACAGCGTCGCCACGGCTCGAGCCTCCGCCGTCCTTCTTTGCAAGCTCGCGCACGTATCGCACCCGCTCCGCCAGCTCGGGGCTGTGGGCGTTTGGGAAGGGCATCCCGACCATGGCGACGGCGCGGGCGAGCTGGTCGGAAAAGTTGATGCCCTCGGACAGCTTGGCCCCGACGACGGCGAACAACACCGCGCCGCCGATCCTGCCCTGCCTCGGCGCGTCAATCTCGAGCGTGTAGTCGCGCAGCACCGCGTCCACCTCGCGCGTCGTCTTGGGCTCGACAAAGATGCGCTTCTTGGCCTCGATCCGTTTCCACACTGACGTTGTTGTTGCCGTCGTCGTCGTCGTCGTCGTCGTCGATGGCGTCGTCGCAGAAGCTATTTCGGAGGCGATCACGGAAGACGACGACGCTGGAGTCTCGGTCTTCCACCGCTCCATGACCGTGTCGAGAAAGGCGTAAGACGGCAGGAAGACGACCAGGCCGTCGGGGACGATGTTGCACAGGTTGACGAGCGTCGCTCCAAGCTCGTCGAGCAGAGCCGGGTCCTTGCGGTTGTCAAACTTGAACTCGAACGGCACGCCGCGGGGTCCGCTCGAGACGACCGTGACCGAGAGGTTGGAAGAAGGGATAATGTGGCCGCACGAGTGGCTGGTGAAGCGCTCGGCGGCAAGGCTCGGCACCAGCTGCTGCCGAAAGTCCGAGATCGGCTCCATGGTGCCGCCGGCCAGGACTACGGAGCGGGCCTCCTCGACCAGCGTCTTGAAGACGTGCGAAGGGTTCAGCAGCTGGTATTTGAGCGTCATCGACGGCGCTGTCGCCACCACGCCGCCGCTACTCGGTTCGAGAGCACTTCTCGACCGAGGCGGCTGCAGGCCCAGCAGCACTCGTCCATCCTCGGTGCGGTTGGCGAGCGAGAGAATGAACGACTCGATGGCGTGCATCGCCGCAATCGGGCTGGGACCTTCGCCGTCGCTGCTCCTCGTCGTCGTCGTCAGCGGTGGGGTTGGCACGGCCTTAGCACCCTTGGCTGTCCGCCGTTGCCTTTTGCTCTCCTCGATGCTGGCGGCGATCTCGTCGCGCCTCTGCTTCTGCACCTGCTTGTCGGCATAGCCGCTCACCTTGCGGGCGATCTGCGTGTCCTTGAGCCAGCGCTCGAGCTCCACCAGCTGCCGCGCGTCGCAGATTCAGGCGCAGTTGTTGGTTAGCGGCGCGTCCAAGCAGGCGCCTCCCAACGTCTCGGAAACTCACGTTGATTCGGTCCAGCGTGCCGCCGATCTCGGCGACGAGCTGCGACGCCGTCATGATCTCCTGCTGGCCGACCGAGCTCGACTGCGCTGGCGACTTGCCTTGCCCAGCGCGGCGGTCCAGCCACTTTGTGCAGAAGCCCTGCAGGCCGTTGAGGACGCCCATCATCTGGCGGAGGTGTGCCTCGTTGGATCCCTTGAGCCTGAGCGCAAATCGGTCGAGGTACGTCTGGATCTGGCGCGCCGCCTGGCCGACCTGCTCCGACGAGATCGAGACGGTGTGGGTCGAGAGGATGTTGTCGATCAGGTTGTGCGCCTCGTCAATGAGCACGACGCAGCCTTCGAAGCTGATGCCCAACGACTGCCGGGCGTCCTTCTGCAGCAAGAGGTTGTACGGCAGCGTGATGAGCTGCAGGTTGCGGGAAGGGGGAGGAGAGGAACACGATCGCGCATCGCCGCGGTCAACCCGTGCCTAGGATCAGCATCGGCTCGCATCTCTCTTGCTCTGTCGCGGTGCCCAATGGCGAGCTCCTCACCTCGGCCTGTCTCGCGCTGCTCCGGGCGGCAAAGTAGGGGCAGGTCTTCATGTCCCTCCCGAGCTGCACCAGGTCCTCGATGTCGGTCACCTCGGCCATGGCATGGTCGCGAAACTCGAGCACTTGGGCACGGCCCACTTCGTCCGGGGGCGGGGCGAAGCTGCACCGCTTCTTGCTTCGGCCGTCGCCATCGCCGCCGCCGCCGCTGCTGGTGCTGCTCTTGAGGAGCTCGAGGCAGCGTTCGTTCATGGCCTCGGCCCCTGCGCGCTGTCCGAGCTTCTGCACGTCGGCGTTGATGCACATCTGCTTGCGGCTGCCCAGGCTGATGGTGCGTATCGGCTCGATGATATCCTGATCGTCGTCGCTGGCCGTCCCTACCTTTGTCTTCGTCGCCAGCGTGGCTGTCTTGCCTGTACCCCCGCCTTCTCGATCCTCGTCCCAGTGGCTGGTGACCTTGATCCGCTTGCCAAAGTCCGTCTTGCGCAGCTCCGCCACAAACTGGGACAGCTGGCTGTGCGTCCGGCTCGCGTAGATGATGCGGGGCAGCGTCTCGGGCTCCTCGTCGTCGTCGTCGGGGCCACCGCCAGCGCCTTGCCGGTTCTTGGTGGCGTCAAGCTGCGCCATCAGCGCGCGCACTTGCGGCGAGAGGTTGTCGTATTGGTCCTCTTGTGCCCTTTTGCTCGCCCTTGCGCCGAGGAAGCCAAACGCCCGCCTCCTGCTCGACCCGCCAGCGCCGTCTGCTGGGTCGGCCTCGGTGTCGCTGGCGAGGAAGTCGTCGTCCGAGTCGTCGGCATCGGCGCCCTGGTCCCTCTTGAGCCTCTTCCTCTGATGCTGTGAGTCGTCGGCAGCTCCGCTTTCGGCCGCCTTCTTGCCGCTTCTCTTCCACTCCGCCTGCTTGGCCCTCGCCGCCCGGATCCTGGCCTTGAGCTCGTCCTGCTGCGCCATCAGCTCCCTCCGAACCTTGTCCTGTCGGTGCTGGACCACCCACTCCGGCTCGTCGCCAGCGTCCTGGGCTATGCTCTCGACCTGCCCGCGCGCCGCTCGCTCCTGGTTCTGCCGCAGCCAGGTAAAGGCGCTGCAGATGAGGCTGAGCGACTTGCCGGTGCCCGTGGGGCTCTCGAAGACGCCGACCTTGCCGTCCTCGATGGTGCGGAAGATCTGGGCCATCAGCTCAAGCTGGATTGTGTAGGCTTGCGGGTAGGGGAAGCCGAAGGCGCGCGAGAGGCGATAGGCGCGTTGGTCGTCGGTCTCCGCGTCGTGGCTGTGTGAGGATGAGGAGGCCGCCTCGCCGCCCTCTGGGACCTCGCCCGGCGTCGGCAGGCGGAGAAGCGTCGAGGCCGTCATAATTGGCTTGCCCGGCTAGCTCTCTCGGCCTGGGCAGCCAGGGGATCCAGGAAGTTGGGTTCTTGGTGAGGCTGGAGGCGGCGTCCGAAGATGGGGATGGAGGGTGCTTTGCCAGGCCGGCTGAGAGAACAAGACGGCAGCCGTCAGCGTTGGCCAGGCCCAGGTGAGCCCGTCCGTCTGGCAGCCAAAGGAAAGCCTGCCTGGGAGAAAAACTCCACAAGGCAGGCGACAAAGCTGGACGCGTCGCGGAAAGCGCGACGCCTGCAAAGGCCAGCCAGGCCCGCCCGCGAGATCAACACCTCGCTTCGACCGCCTCGCGAGCAAGCGAGCAAGCAAGCAAAGAGGACCTTGCTGCGAGGGATGGGGCAGCCAGCGGTAGGGTCAGCACGACGAGGGGATCAACATGGATGGCTCAACGCGCACAGAATAGCAAGGGTATCGACATTAGGGCTGGCGATGGGGGACCTGCGAGGTGCGGCGCTGCATTGCGATGCGATGTGGATGCGTATGGGCAGGGAATAGAGGGATGGTGCGGGTGCGGGGCGTGTGGTCGTAGTCCTCCACCTCGTCCTCCTCCGTTTCCTCCTCCTCATTACAGATGCCTTCCCGCTCTCAATCGGCCTCGTCGACAGAATCGGCCTCGTCTTCGTCGTCCAGGGCGTCGGGCCACACGGCGTCCTTGCCCAGGCCGCCGCCCTTGTGCTTTCCTGGCTTCCACTTTCGGTACTTGCGGTCCAGCCCGCTGCACTGCTCCGACACGACGTCGCTTAGCTTCAGCGGGCCTCCCTTGAGACCGTCGCGCCGCAGCTGCAGCGTGTACAGCACGTCGAAGCGGTCCTCGGGGTACTCGATGCCGCGCACCCCGAGCGCCTTGCCAATGTCCGTCAGCCTCTTGTGCTCCCACGAGATGAGCACATTCTGACCCTGCCTCGCCTGCCTCAGCGCGATCCTCGCGGCGCAGGCGGCGTCGTCGCGGTCGCAGCCATGGTGAATCGACACGCCCAGCTTGCGCGCCAGCGGCTCGACCTGTCCGGATCCAGGAGGTTGGTGTCGAGCACATTCACAAGTCAGCCTGGCAGTCGCGGGCTAGTCGGCCCCCCCTCCGGCACCCAGTTCCTGCTCACCGTCCAAAAAGGGCGCTTGCGTCGGCCATTCTCGAGGAAGCTCTGGGTGATGATAAAGTCGACCTTGCGCTGGCCCTTGGAAAACTTGCGCTTGATGCACTTGGCCCTCTGCTTGCCCTTGGGCGACAGGCCCGTCTTGTCGTGCTTGACCTTCTCGCCGTGGCGGATGAGCTATCGGTCGAAGGGCGGAGATGCAACGATGGCCTGTCAGCGGCTAAGCCGCATCACCGCAGGCTCAGGGGGAGGGGGCCAGCGGCACTCACAAAGATCTGACCCTGCCGTTGGACGTCGCCCGCTCGTAGGGCACTGCGGCCATCGGCATCGCTGGGGCTCGAAGGGGCATCAAGGTTGACCAGGTCGAAGTGGTTGGTCGAGCCTTGGCGCTCGTCGGCGCCGTCTGTTGCGTCGTCTGGGCCGCCAGAGATCCAGGCAAAGACCTGCTGGTGCGACGAGCGAGGAGACCGCGGCTCTGTGGCTAGGACCCTCGAGCCCTGGCCGGAGCCTCCCGTGGTGGGTGCAGTCGAAGCGACCCCGACCAGCAGGAGCGCAAGGGTGACGACGAGGATGCTTGGCTTGGTCATTTCGTCCTCAGAGTTGGTCGGCGATGATCGCAAGTCGTAAGGCCGCGACGGATTGTATGCGGGATCAGGAGTTCCAGAAGTCTGGACTGGGCCGGAGTCGCTCTGCCGGTTCCTTATACGCCGAGCGACGGGGGCGACGCTTCCACGGATCTTTGTCGAGGAAAGAGGCGGGTGCAGCACGGCAATGGGAGAGAGCGGCTGCAGCGGGTTGCGGCGGATGTGGGTCGAGGCCACGGCGGAGGGTAGCTAGACAACCTTCATGGTTATCGCCCGTGAGCCTGATCCGAGGGCGTTGGCTTGCGGTCAGGGGTCCGAGGGCCGGGGGGTTGGTGATTAGGGTAGGATGGCAGCCTCTTGCTCCGTCGAGTGACAAGCTTTGGTGGTCGATGGGCTCGTGCCGGTCCGGTGGCGAGGCCTCGGTGAAAGGGGGCGGTGAGCAACAGAGACGAGGGAGAACGTGGACAGCGGCCAGCCAACAGGACAGAGGGCCCAAGGCAGACCAACACATGCAGCCCGCCGGCCTGGCCAAAGAGGGCGCCAAAAAAGGGGCAGCGAAATTGCGAGCCAAATCCGCGTTGAATGAGGGCGTGGGCCGACATTGGACCGGCACTCGGCCAGGCTAGGCAGCACCCTCGTCAAAGCAGACGCAGGTGGAGGACGACAGAGACGTAGGACCTGCCCCCCCGCAGCGGGGTTGCCGCTTGACTTGACCATCGACCACCATCATCCCTAGCCTCGTCCACGCGGCGCGTCCTTCCGCCTAGACCCTCGTCGCCGACAGCCCGCATCGCGCCGCCATAGGAAGTGGCAAGACGCTTTCAGGATGGCCCTGCCCAACCTGCGCCGGATCTTCAGGTTGGTGTTCATTCCCACGCCGGTTGCTCTGCCTCGGAAGCCAAGACCGAAGGAAAGGCGACTCAGGCTCATCCACTCATCTGGCTTTCCCTCCATTGCTCTCTGAATCTCTGACTCGACAGCTCCTCGAGGACCGACGACCAGGAGCGCGCCGTGTCCCGCCAGGCCTTCTTCCGCTGCCTCTCATTTATCGCCTCCTGCGCCGTCATCGCGCTCCTCAGCAGCCCAAAGAGGCGCGGCGCAATCGGGCTATAGCCTTAATCGCCCGGCCGTCGTCGCACTCGTGCCCCTCCTTGAGACCAAGGAGCAAACACCAAGCATCTGTCAAGCTGCCCCAAACCTCCAGACACAGCCTCTCCTTGCGCCAGAGGCAGGGACGGCCCCCCACCGCCCAGAGTCGCGACGGAGAGCGTCCAGCTCTGGACAGCGCCGCCTTGCATCTCGTGTGCGTCCATCTGCGTCCAGCATCGGACTCGCATCAGGGCCACCCTGACACCGACTTGCTGGCCACCGCTGGCTCTCGACAAGGGCGGCGCCGTTTTCCTCCCGAGCTGAGGCGATGGCGCCCGTACGCAGCTCACCCTCCCTGCCGTCGCTCCTCCGCCGCGCCCCTGTAGCTCTATACCCAAGTGGCAGCCAAGAATGTCATCTGATGCCTGCTGACCGTCGCCGCCGCTGCCGTCCTGACGCCTGATCGAAGCGTCTGCTTGCGTATGCCCCCCCCGCTGGGCCAGACCTGCCGTCGGGTTGGATGCGTGTCGTGCGCCGAGGAGGCGCGGTGGACCGGCCTGGCCAGGCCTGGCTGCCTCCACACACACCCAAAAGCCCGCAGCCGGCACGCGCAGATCTTCTCTTTCCGCGCTCGAGCAACGCAGTCGAGTCGACCACCGGCCTCCCTCCCTATCGTCTACTCTCACAACCTGCCATCCACGCTGCGGCCGTCATACCCTCTCCGTGCTACCACTTCACACATCCCAGATCGCTGGCTGAAAGCTGCTTCCCACCTCGAGCGACTACGCCTACCGCGAGCACGGGCGTCATCGCCATAGCGAGAGGCCGCTGCCAAGCCATCCCATCGTCGCCAGCTGGTCACCGACCCTTTGCTGGGTCATCCCAGCCGATGCAGAGATAGCAATCCCCCCCTCTCCGACTGCCGTCATGTCGACAGCGACTACAGCACCGATGCAGGGCAGCGACCCATCAGCAGCAGCAGCAGCAGCACAATCGGCAGCAGCAGCAGCACCATCATCATCAGCAGCAGCGACGACACCGGCGGTGGCAGGAGACGGGACGGCGATGGACGAGGACCCCGGTGAGGCTACCGAGCCTTCATCCCAGCCAGCTCCCTCCCAGGCCGGTCCAGAGCCTGCGTCTTCCACGCCGGCCGTCGCAACCGCGTCAGCTGCGGACGACAAGCTGGGCGGAACGGCGACAGCTGCCGCCAACAAAGCGGCATCCCAGAGCGCGACAGATACCGACTCCAAACTCATGTCCACCTCCGCAGCCGCTTCCACAACCACACCCGCTCCGACCAAAGCCCCAACCACCGGCGCTGGCCCTGCAGCAACGAGCACGGCCACCTCGTCCAAGGCACCTTCGACGACGTCGACTTCGACGCTGCCGCCAGAAGCCGCATATCAGTGGATCTTTAGCAAGAGCGACCTCCAGCTCACGCCCTCCGTGCTCCAGGCAGGCCTCTCGTCGACAGAAGAGAGGCAGCTCAGGGCCAAGGGCATCCACCTCATCTACCGCGTCGGCGACTTTATGAGGCTGTGAGTCGATACCATCCCGTTGCCACTGGCCTTGGGGTCGACCTTTGCGCTGACCCAGCCTCGCCCGCCTCCTTCCGTCGTCGCTCGTCGCTCGCCACACGAAGCGGCCAGCATGTGCTCAGCACCGCCTGCATCTTCTTCCACCGCTTCTACATGCGCAAGCCGCTGCAGTACGGGCCCTCGCGGCTGGGCTACTCGCACTACGTGAGCACCTTCCTCGTCGTCTCTAGCCTTGTCGAGGTTGCTTGGCTGACCCTTCTCTCGACCATCCCCCGCTTCCCGTCTGGCTCAATTCGCCCTCTCTGCAGGAGGTGGCCGCGGCATGCATCTTCCTGGCGTGCAAAGTGGAAGAGGCGCATCGCAAGCTTCCCTCGGTCATCGAGGCCACCATGGCCTCGCTCGACAAGTCGCCGGCGGGCCTGCAGAAGTGGGTCGAGCGGACGTATCGAGTCGATCCCAACACCAAGGTGAATTGCTCTCGGTCGCGCTCCGAGAATGCCGTCGTCATCCGACGGCCATTGACCCGTCTCTCCTGATCCTGCATCGTCCAAACAATCCCCGGGCTGCCAACCGACAGGAGTATGGCAGATGGCGGGACATCATCCTCGTGTCGGAAGAGGTGCTGCTCGAGGCGCTGGCATTCGACCTCATCATCGACCACCCACACGAGATCCTCGTCAAGGCCACCTATCGCCTCGGCGTCGACAAGTCGGTGGCGCGCCTTGCCTGGACCATCATCAACGACACGTGAGTCTCGCCTTGCCTTGCCTTGCCTTGCCCTGCTGCCCTTCCCCATCTTAGTGGCCACCTCTTCGAGCGTCGCATGCTGATGACCGCCAGCCCCTGTGCGAACGCTTGCGGACTTCGGCATCGCAGCATGCGTGATCCAACCTGTGTCATGTTCGAGGCCCCGGTGCTGGCGGCCGGCGCGTTCCAAAAGGCGTGCTCGGCGCTCGGAGTGGATCCCAACGCGTTCCACGCGGCCAAGCCAACGGCGACGGCCGCAGCAGCAGCAGCGGCAGCCCCGGCAGAGCGGCCACCGGCGCCGCAGCAGAACGGCGCGAATGCCAGCGAAGGGCTCGCATGGACCGAGGTGTTTGACGTCGACGAGGACGAGGCGGCCGAGGTGGGCGCAGCCATCGACGAGGACGTGTACGGCTTCCACGGCGGGCCGAGCAGCGGCGCCACCCCCGCGGCGGCGGCTACACCTGCTGCCGCTACCGCGACGGCCACCGAAGCGCCGCGCGAGTGAGGTCGCGTCTGGTGGCCTGGCAGCACGAGCGCACAGAAAGGCGGCTATCGTGACCGCCACCGGACACAGCGGGCGGTGCAATGCGACATGAACGATGCAAGGACACGGCTCGCAGAAGACCGCCTGGCCGGCGCCGGTGGCACGAAGAAGATGGGGAACTCGGCGCCGTGTCGGATATCGCTCAACGTGACCCGATGACAGTCCTTGCCCGATGACCAGCCTCGGGGCAAGCCGGCACGCGAGCGTATTCCGATTTCGCGAAGGCGGTGAGGCCCATGCCGGCGGATCCGCAAAGGCGAGCACGTTGCCGATGCGCGTGCAGCAGCTGCCAGGCCTCGTTGTGGGCGTCCTCGATCTGGCCCACGCCGCGACGCCAGGCCTGCCCCTTGCCTCGCTCCCTCGCCTTTCCCCCACGATGAGATGATGGGACGAGATGGGATGCGGCCTCTGTAGCCTGCGCGCTGCCCCAAGACGCCGCGATCAGGAGCAGGCCTGGCCAGGCCGCCGTCGCGGACCGACGGTCGGCACCACATGCCAGCCGCCCTCTTAGGCTACGGGCTAGCGTGATCAGCACGCCCCTACCTCCCTGCTTGCTTGCTGATGCTGCTGATGCCGCAGATGTATGCTGCTCGTGCTGCCCGCTGCGACGACCGACGATCGATCTTTCGGCCCAACTTGTACGGGGCCTGTCAGGCAGGCCTTGCCTCTGGCATGGCAACCCGTCCGCCACACAGGCGCAACGTCGATCCTTTGGCGCCTGCCAGGCTGCCTCCCCTCTCACCACGGATGCCCGCTCGCCCCGCTCCGCCCGCCCGCACTGAACGGTCGGCGCTCCGGGGCGGCTGAAATTTGAGAATTCGAGCCAAGCAAGCACACGCCGGTTTGGAAAACTTTTGTGTTTGGCCTGCCTGCCCTGTCCTTGGCCTGCCCCCTCGACTTTCTGATCTCGCCCCGGCCTGTCTTGCAACTCGCATCGTATCGGCGGTTTGCCCTCTGGCCTCTCACTCGATTCGTCGGTCCGCTCCGGCCTCGAGGCGAACTGGCGCCTCGACGCAGAAAGAGCGGCAAGCACGCACGCACGCACGCACGCCTCTGGCTCTGGCCAGGCTGTTCTTTTTCGGGCGTGGTGCACACCGTCGCACCGACCGCCCGCCCGCGTCGTTCTTCCAGCCTGCCTGCCTGCCACGCCTCATTTCGCCATCCTCCGTCGTGCTGGCTGCTCCTCACACCTCGCTCGGCCGCTTGCTGGCTCGTTTGCGTTCGGGTTGTGCTCTGTACGCCGCACTGACCTTGCCTCGGTCTTGTCCCACCGTAGCCTAGCCTAGCCTAGCCTGGCCTAGCCGTAGCAGCCGTGCGCGCGAGCGAGTGTGCAGCCGCCACCCTGTGTGCACCTGCCGAAGCAGGCGAGAGGCTCGCGCAGACTGACCGAGAAAGTGAGCGAGGCTCGTAAGGCCCTCCGAGCGCTTGTCTCTGGCCTGGCCGCGGCCTGGCCGCCTCGCTCGCTCTTTTTCCGTTCATCGCTTTCCCCCGGAGTCGGGTTCCACCCGGTCCCTGCCTCGTCCTCGTTCGCCCTTGTCCTTCTCCCCTATCGCTCCGCCCTCCCTCTCCATCACCACCACCACCACCATCACTACCACCACCACCCCATCCCTTCCCTCGCCACACCACCCGGCTGCGTCCTCCTATACCCTGCTGCCCGACCTCCGCTGATCTTCGCTCGGTCAAGGTCGTAGCTACCGCTGTCTTTCTCTCGTCTCCAAGCCGATCAATCGAGCCTCACCCCGGCCCTTGCGCCCGCAACCCAGCACGATGTCCAAGGAACACACGTCTCTGCCCATGCAGAACCTCTCGATCGATGAAAAGGGCGGCCACGATCCCATCACCGGCCACCGCCTGCCCTCGGTCGGCACGCCCGGCGCCAGCGGCATGGGCGTCCAGGGCCCCTCGAGCGGCGGTATCCTCCCCGGCGGCGCATCCCAGCGCGACAAGAAGAAGATTCACCCCGCGCTCATCATCGCCATCTGGATCGCCCTCTCGAGCAGCGTCATCATCTACAACAAGTGAGCATCCGTTCGGGGTAATGGGCGTCCTGGCGACGGTCTCGCCTCGTTGGCTAGGCCTAGCACAGGCCAGGCAAGGGGCAGACACTGTGGCGGCCAACGGGGCGGATCAGAGGCGACATCTCCGCCGTTTCTTTCGACCGACTGCTCCCCCTGGGAGCCAACCTTGCTGACTCTGAGCGTCCATTGCGCACCATCTCCTCTGCTTCTGCCCTTTCGCTCGCCCTCGCCCTCGCCCTCGCCCTCGCCCTCGCCCTCGCCCTCGCCCTCGCCCTCGCCCTCGCCCTCGCTACCAGGTTCGTCCTCGACAAGGAGCAGCTCAACTTCCCCTTCCCCGTCTTCCTGACGACGTTCCACATGGCGTTTGCCACTGTCGGCACGCGGATGCTGGCCCGCTTCACGCACCTCATGGACGGCCTGCACACCGTCGAGATGACCAACGAGCGGTGGTACCGCAACATCCTGCCCATTGGCGCATTCTTCTCGGCCAGCCTCGTCTTCAGCAACATGGCCGTCCTGACGCTGACTGTCAGCTTCATGCAGATGCTCAAGGCTTTTACGCCGGTCGCGGTGCTCCTCATCTCGTTTGCCTTTGGCCTCAAGCAGCTGTCGGGCTCGCTCGTCCTGATTGTGGGCGCCATCTCGTTTGGTGTCGCCACGGCCTCGTACGGCGAGGTGTCGTTTGACCCGGCGGGCTTCGTCTTCCAGGTGCTGGCCATCGTGTTTGAGTCGACGCGGCTCGTCATGATCCAGGTGCTCCTCCAGGGCCTCAAGATGGACCCGCTGGTCAGCCTCTACTACTTTGCGCCCGTCTGCGCCTGCATCAACGCCTGCCTGATTCCCTTTACCGAGGGCCTGCAGCCGTTTATGGAGATTGCCAACCTGGGCCCGGCCATCCTGCTGTCCAACGCTGGCGTCGCGTTTGGCCTCAACATTGCCGCCGTCTTCCTGATTGGCGCCGCCAGCTCCCTCACCCTGACGCTGGCCGGCGTGCTCAAGGACATCCTCCTCATCATGGGCAGCATGTTCCTGCTGGGCAGCACCGTCACCGGGCTGCAGTACTTTGGATACGCCATCGCCCTCGCCGGCCTGGTGGCCTTCAAGACGCACAAGGGGTGAGGCCGCGCGCTCGCACGTCGGCAAGCGCCGCATCTCTCCCGCGCCGCTCCTGGATCAAGGCCAAGCTCCGGCGGCGACGGCATTGCGGCCGACTTCGACGGCGACTCTCCGTCGTGGCCGCATGCGATGTCGTCTCCCGGGTCGGAACGAGCTCGCGGCTCCCTCTCCCTCTCTCTTCGCTCTCTCTCTCACACTCTCACACTTTTAATGGACTTTATCCTCTTTCGCTCACCCTTCTGCGACGACGGGCGGTCCATCCCTGCCTGTAGCTGCGATGGCGTCCTCGCCGCTGCGGTCTCGCCCTCTCGCCCCTTCGTCCTTTCACCCTTGGTCTTGCGGATAGAGCTGTAGTATCACACCTTCGCCCCTCCCCTCTCCCCCGTCGACCGTCCCGGTCGCATGTACAAGTCGCCTCGTGTAAACCTCTCGAACCCCGATCGCATCCACCGAGCAAGCCACGGCGGCAGGGGCAACACAGGAGGTGATTGGCCCGCGACGACGACGACGACGACGACGAGGGCAGCGTACGGCCCTGCGAGGCGTGCCCTCGACACTGGACGCGGCACCGAGGCAAGGTTGAAGGGAGAGCAGTATCTGCAGATGGCCTCTACCTCTGGAAGTGGTGGCGAGGCGATGGTCGACGCCAAGCAGGCAGCGGCATCTGGTGTCATGCCCGTGGGGCTGTTTTTGCGGGGCGGGGAAGCGCGGACGAGCAAGGGGGGCGGGTGGTGACGAGGCGGAAGAGTAGGCTCCCAAGCACGCACGCACGCACGGCTTGGCTCTCTGGTAGGTGGCTCTCTGGCTCTCTCTGAGGCAGCCGGCTTCTGCGAACATCGAGATGCCGTCCAGAGGTCGCGGCGAGCCAGAGGGAGGGAGGGAGAGAGGCAGGGCGGAAGCGGCCAGAGGCAGGCAGCGAGAGGCAGCCAGGCCCAGGCAGGGTGGTCAAAGTGGAGGCCGATGGGCGAGCCAGAGCTTGCTTGCTTGTCTGCTTGACGAGGGTTTAGGCAGGGCACCGATGCAGGGCCTGGCAGCCAGGGCAGCGCGGCGCAGCGCAGGTGGGGCGTGCCCGGGCCAGGGCGGCGGCGTGGTCACCCTTGCCTACGGTAGCGGCTTGCTGCCTGCCTGGCCCTGACGCTGCCGGCAACGTCAACCCACAGGCAGAGAAGCTGGACTGGGCACAGGCCAGCCCGCAAACAGAGACGCCCGCTCCCCAACATCCAGCAGCCAGGCCGGCCGGCCGTCTTGGACATGATGCAACGCAGCAGCAGCAGCAGCAGCAGACACCCAGCCGCAAAGGAGGGGCGGGCCTTTCCTCTTGCTAGGCTCCAACCGACCTGCCCAGCCCGAGCGGCGCCCTGCTCTGGCCAGCGCGCATCGCCGCCCTATATAGGACCCAACGGGCAGGCCGCTCATCCCTTCTTCCGCCCCTCCATCGACGCCACCCGACCGCACCCATCCGCAACTCGCCTCTCACCCACTCCCTCACTCACTCACTCACACCAACCTCCGAAAACCCCCTCGTCCACCATGTCGCACCTCACTGACAAGCTCAAGGCCGCCGTCAAGGGCCCCATCAAGGAGGGCGACAGCCTGCCCAAGAACATCCTGCTCAAGGAGTCCAACCCCGAGCAGGGCACCGTCGACCTCGCCGGCCAGACGGGCCGCATCCTCGTCGTCGGCGTCCCCGGCGCCTTTACCCCTCCCTGCTCCAGCCACGTCCCCGGCTACGTCCAGCACGCCGACGCCTTCAACCAGAAGGGCGTCGAGGGCGTTTACGTCGTCGCCGTCAACGACGCCTTCACCACCCAGGCCTGGAAGGAGAAGCTCGGCGCCAGCTCGCCCCACGTCCACATCCTCGCCGACGACACGGGTGCCGTGAGTGTCCGCCATTGCCCCTCACCGCTGGTGTCGATGTCGCGCGAATGTCTATCGCGAATGGCGCAGCTGATATTGTCGTCGTCTTCATGATCCAATGACACCCCATGTCTTCGCCTTTGCTCCCGCAGTTCACCCACGCCGTTGGCCTCAACTTTGACGCTACCGGCCTGCTCGGCGGCCAGCGTTCGCAGCGGTGAGTTGCCTGCTTCCCCGCCCAAGCTAGTCGGCCCAACGGCTCCGAAGCTGACTCTCTCTTCCTTCGTCGCCTCCGCTGCCATTGCCCCGCCCCCTCGCCCCTCTTGCCAGATACGCGCTGCTGGTCGAGGGCGGCATCGTCAAGAAGGCCTTTGTCGAGAAGCACGCGCCCGACGTGTCGGTGACGTCGGCCGACAACGTGCTCAAGGCCATCTGAGCGGGGACACGTCACGCGGCCTCGATACCCGTTTCGCCTCGTCGTGTCGCCTTGTCGCCATCGGCGTAGCAGAAGTCTTGCCGACCGTGTGTCTGAAGTGAAAGAAAGACGAAAGCCGAAAGTGAAATCCTCGTCCATGGCTCGCTGTGACTCTGTTCCAAGGCAAGATTGTGGTCCGTCCTGAGCTTGGTGGGAAGGGGAGCGAGGCTAAGGCGTGAGAGGTTGCTGATGGGCCGTGCGGCTGGGCGTGGCGCCGGTGGCAGGCGATCAGGCTGGCTGGCTGTCTGTTCGCGTGCCGGCTGACTGCGTGTGCGCATGGGCCCGGCGTGGCCTGCGCCGCCGCCCGTTTGGCGTTTGAGCCTGATTCTCTGCGCCGCTGCGCTTCTTTTTCTTCCACCTCCACTCGGTCGCGCAGAGGCTGGCGCCATCAACCAACATCCCAACCGACCCCACCCCACCTTCATCGCTCTGCACCAGCAAGAGAGCAAGAACAAGAGCAAGAGCGAGAGCAAGAGCAAGGAAAAGAGCAAGGAGCAGCACCGACGTGGAGCCGGCGACGACATGGCATCCGATCGGGGACAACCAGAGCGCGGCCGTAGCCGCACACGCAGTCGCACTCCCTACTCGGCCCAGCAACACCGCTCAGGGTCAGAACCTCGGTCCCAGTCAAGCTCCAGGTCCAGGTCGGCCTCGTACAGTCCTCGTCCGCCCTCTGATCCTGCTTCGCCCATGTCGGTCTCAGTATCGAGGTCGAAGTCGGTATCGAGGTCGAGGTCGAGTTCGGGGTCGAGTTCGGGGTCGAGTTCGGGGTCGAGTTCGGGGTCGAGTTCAAGGTCAAGGTCAAGGTCAAGGTCAAGGACCAGGTCAAGAACAAGGACACGATCACGATCCTTTTCCTCCCGCTCTCACTCTCGCTCCAGATCAACATCGCGCTCAAGGTCCAGCTCAAGGTCGAGGTCCAGGACGCCGCCTCGACGCCGAGCCTCGAGAGCGGTCCTGGTCAAAGGGCTCACGCTCAACGTCAAGGAACGCCACCTCGATCACATCTTTGGCGTCTACGGCAGGCTCGACTACGTGCTGCTCCATCCCCCCGCCGTCCGAGCGACTAGAGGTGAGTCTGTCGCAAGCTGCTGCTCTCTCCAGCCAAGCCTGGCGATGCAACGCAAACCCCGCAATCCCGCGCTGAACTCGTTCTCCCATCCCTCACCACCCTCCCGACAGGCCCCATGCCAGGTCCGACGGCGCACATCGTCTATACCCGCGTCGCCGGGGCCGAAAGGGCCGTCGAACACATGGACCAGGGTCAGATCGACGGGGCGCTGCTCCAGGTCGGATTCGACGACGTACCCACACCACCACCTTCACCGCCTCGTTCCTCGTCCCGCCGCGGAGGCTGGGACAGGGCGGACAGGAGGGATCCGAGACGACCCTCTCCTCCTCCTCTTCCCGCTCCCAGCAGGAGAGCATGGGCGGCCGCGGCGGCGCAGTACGACGACGATCGTCGTTCGTCGAGCGGCAGGAGGGGAGACGGGTCCGCCGCGCCACCGCCACTCCGCATCAACCGCAACCGGCACGTGGATGCGGGTTCGAACGGGTTCGCAGCGAGGGACGCCGACGGGTATGCCAGGCAGCCGTTCGATGGCAAAGGGGGGGCGAGGAACGGCGGCGGGTTCAGACGACAAGGCGACAACGGTTGGGGCAGCAGAGCGCCACCGCCACCACCGCCACGGGCGGGATCGTCGTCGCGGGACAGGAAGAGGAGCGCGAGTCCATACCGGTCGAGCGGAAGGGACGCCAACGGGTATGCGGCCCCGGACCGCGCGAGGGACCGGGACTGGGAGAGGGAGAGGGAGGGGAGGGCGCGGCGATCGCCGTCGTACGCGCCCTCGACCGACTCGAGGAGCCGACGATATAGCCCCATGCGAGATTGATCGAAGACACCCAGCCTGGCGCAGCCACCACCATCACTTCGTCGGCGACGACGGCGACTATCCAGCATCGTACGGCGCCTGGCTACGCGGCGGCCACTTCTGCATAGGCCGGAGAGCCGTTAGGTTGGGACAGCACGGGAGGCAGACGGAGAAAGAGGGGGTGGTCTGCAGATCCAGATAAGAATGCCCTAGATATTCGGGCCGTCCGACGACGACAAAGGCAGGTACTAGGCGGGTAGACGGGTAGGCTGGGTAGGCTGGCTGGCTACTTGACGAGGGAGAGACGTGACACTGGCTCCTTCATCGCTTCCTCCGGCTGCTCCTGCGCGTCGATGCCCTCGTCTCGCCGTCGGTGTGCCCATCGTCGTCCGCATCGTCCGGTGCGCTCCTCTTCTTTCCCGCCGCACCACCACCACCACTCCCACCGCCGCCGCCGCCGCCTCCGCCGCTACCGTTTCTCGAAGCGTCCGACGAGCCGGGACCCAAGTCGCGGCCCGCCCGTCGTTCCGCCCGCGCCTGGCTCCGCGCTTCCCGCTCCTTTTCCCTCTCTTGATCCTCGCCTCCACCGGCCCCCCTTCGACTGCTCCTCGTCCCACCACCACCACCGCGCCTCCCTCGGCCCGTAGAGGCAGAGTCGTAGTCGTGGTCGTGGTCGCTGGCCACGCTCTCGTTGTCGTCCCTGCCACCACCACCTCCACCGCCTCGCCGTCCCGATCGACGGCCCCCACGACGCGACGACGAGGCGTTGCCGCCGCCGCCGCCGCCTGCGCCGCCAGCGCCATCAGTGTGCGTCGTGGCCTGACTATCCACGGATCGGTCCCGCTCGCGTCGATCGCCCCGATCCCGGTCCCGCTCGCGGTCCCTTTCTCTCTCGCGCTCGCGCTCCCGATCCCGGTGATCCCGCTGATCGCGATCACGATCACGATCACGGTCGCGCTCTCGCCTCGAGTCGCGGGCGCGCGCGCCTCGATCGCTGTCGCGGGCAGAGCCTTCGCGCGAGCTTCGATCGCGCTCAGCACGGTCGCGCGTACGCTCCAGGTCCCGGTCGCGAGCCCTGTCGCCTCTCGGGCTCTCGTCGCCGTGGCCCGCCCCGCTCGCGCCTCCGCCTCCGCCTCCACCTCCTCCGCCGTAGTCGAGCGCATCGGCCGCACCGACGCCCGTGTCGCGGTCGTTGTACCGTTTACCCGGGTTGCGCGGACCAGTCGGGACATTGCTCGGAAGGGGGCTCGCGGCTCGATCAGCGGCGGGTTTCGAGGGCGCCGCTCGACCTTTGCCGCCACCCGGGCCGGTGGGCGCGCCCTTGACGCCAATGCCACGGCCGCGCGCAGCTCCCCAGCCGGGGACCACAGCGCCACGGCCGGCGCCAGCGCCGCCCCTGCCTAGCCCAGGTCCGCCTCTCGATGCGCTGGGTCCGGTGGGCGGTGCTGGCCCGCCTGGAGATCCTTGCGCCATGCCTGGTGGGACCGCAAATCCGGCCGCAGCCACCTGCGACGGGTCGACGCCGGAAGCTCCAAAGAAGGCGTTCATGTCCTATGAGGCGGGTCCGGTGCGAGGCAGCATTGGTAGTCGGTCAGCCTCTGCCGCAAGCGCGCGTATCCATGGAGCAGGCGGGTCACTCACCATCTCGGGCATTCCCTCGGCCGCCATCTTCATGGCTGTCGATGGCACAGCAGAGCGGAAAATCGATGAAGGGTATCAGCATCGCAAGAAGACGGGGTCGCACTAGTTGCAGTCACGTCGTCAGCGCTCCTTGCGCCACTCACCAGGCCCACTCGGCGGTGCGTCACTGCCGCCAGCGGAGGGCGGCTCGTCCCAGCCGCTGCCGTCCGGCCCTTCTTCCTTGTCCTCCTTCTTGACCTGCGAGGACTCGGGCGTCGCTTCCCAGCCTGCATGGGCGGCATCCTCGGCCGCAGCCTTGGCTCCGTTGGACGGCGCGCCTCCTGCAGGCGGAGGACGTGGGCTGCTGGTGGCATCTTGCTTTTGTTGCTCGTGCTGTTGCGAGGTCGGCGTCGAAGGCTGCTGCGCCTGCGCCTGCTGCATCGCCGCCGGCATCGATGGCGCGTTGGGGAAGTTGTTGGCGTTGCCAGCTCCGGGCCCTCTTGGCGGCGGCGGGCCACCGTGGAAGCGTTGTTGCTGGTCCTGCTGCTGCTGCTGCTGCTGCTGCTGCTGCTGCTGCTGCTGCTGTGGTCCGCCTTGCTGGCCGAAGCCGTGCATACCGTTGTGCCCGCCAAACATGCCGCCGGGCATCCCCATGCCGCCCATCTGCTGCATGTTGGGCATGCCGTGCATCCCGGGCATGTTTTGCATGCCCGGGCCGCCGCCCGCCATGCCCATCATGGCCATCATCTGCTCGGGGCCGGGCATGCCCATCATGCCGCCCTGGCCTCCGCCTCCGCCGCCCATCATGGCCTGCATCGCCTGGATCTGCTGCGGCTGCATGAAGCCGGGCGGCATCATCGACATCATCTGGCGCATCTCCGGAGGCATCTCGCCGTCCCGCGCGGCATTCATGCCAGACTGTCGGATCGTCGGTGGGTAGAGAAGAGGAGGAGGTAAGGCAGCGAGTGTGCACGAGCGTCGCGGTCAGTGTCCCGTGCGGCCGTTGTCGGTGCAGGTCTGCTCAGCAGCTTGCCGGACCCAGTCAACTCACCTCTCCGTCGTTGCGGCTGGCTCGCTCCTCGATCGACTTGCGGGCGTCGGTGTTCCGCTCCTTCTTGCCCCGCCACAGGCTCCAGCTCTCCTCGTTGAAGCCGTAGTTGAAGTAGTCGGTGAGGTCGGCGCCGGGCCGCCTCCACGGCTTTTCGCCGAGCTTGTCGATGTCGATGTCGAAGATGTCGCCGCCGTCCTGCTCTGCCTCGGCCGCTGCCGCATCCGCTGGCTGCGGATACGTGCGGTCCTCTGGGCCGGGTGACAAGTTGAGCCGAGGCGCGGTGGAGGGCACTGGCGGCGGTGGGCCTTCTGGCTGCTGCTGCGATCGATCGGCCGGAGCGGCACCCTCGGCCTGAGCTGATGAAGGCGCGGGTGTGGTCGAGGCGGCCTTGGAAGGCGATGCGGAGACGTTGGCAGCTATCGCAGCCGCCGCTGCTGCTGCGTTGGCGGGGCTGGCGAGGAGCTGGGCCCGGGAGAGCGGGGTGTACTCTGATGTGATGACCGACTGAGGTCGCTGTGGCGTGTTTTGCTGCGATCCAGGACGGAAGCCGGGGGCACCTGGTCTTTGGAAGCCTGAGCGTTGCTGCGGAGGTGCCGGCTGCTCTTGGTTGGCGTCGATGATGAACTCGATGTCCGAATCGCTGTCTTCGTCGTCGTCGTCGTCGTCTTCCTCGTCATCTTCTCCCTCGCTGCCGTCCTTTCCGTCGCCTTGGCCCTTGTCCTGCTGGAAGGCCTGACCGTTGGCGGCGGACGATGCGGCTTCGGGCTGAGAGGCGCCCTCTAGACCGGCGGCGGGTTGCTGCAAGCCGTCGGTGCCGGTGAGGCCGGCGACGGCATCGAGGGTGGGCAGGTCGGCGCCGGGGGCTGCGTCCGGCTCTGCAGTCTTGAGAGGCGCGGTAGCCGCAGCAGCAGACGACGGCTGAGTCTCGTTGGCGGTGTTGCCGCTGTCCTCTCCGTAGAGGAAGGCGTCGTCGTCGTCGTCCATGGCCAAAGACGCGGTCGAAGTTGGAAGACGCAAGTGGTTCCCCAGTTGGGCGCTGCTTCCTTCCAGGGGCTTGCTGCGAAGCGAGGAAAGCGGGCTGGGCTAGGGGGTCGCAGTCGTCTAGAGCCGGGCCTGTGGTGCGAGCGCAGTTGCAAAAGAGGTGAAGGGAGGCGGAAAGAGAGAGACGCTCGACGAGGCGGAGGAAGAGGAGGAGGTGGAGCGAGCGGCGACGTCGACGGCCGTTTTTCCAAGGAGCGGCCTGGCCGGTCAGACGCACGAGACACCCTGACCCACCTTGGCCGACGCCTGCCTGGCCTGCCTACGCCCCACGCTTTTCGGATCCGCGGGTTGGGTTGCGCCCTCGCAGCCGCCACTGCTCGTCGCCTGTTCGCCTTCCTCCGCCTGCTGCCTCGCCAACTTGGCTCACAGCACCCTGCATAGGTGGATCACTCTTGGGCCCAGCCCGCCTGCTCCAGCTATCCATCGATCCTGCGCTACCAGCCGGCTTTCAAGCCAGCGGCACCCACTGCGCCATCAAAGTGGCGACGGCTATGAGTACCTGAGGCTGACGGCTAGGCCAGGCGTTGCGACCAGTGTGTCCGGGTCCAGCCCGGATGGCTGACAGCTAGACTCGCGTCGATGGTCTACCAAGCAGGGCACAGGCGCTATTGAAGCAGCTCTACCCTCGCCGTCAGCCACCGTCGCCCACAGGGTTCTTTACGGCCGACATCGTACAGAACGACGATCGAGCTCAATGGCTCTTGGCCTCGAAGCAATAAGGTGACATGCCAGAGATGTCTCTGCGCTCGGCGCGTGGACAACCTGGGCCCCGTCTGCTTGCTTCACGACGGCAGAGAGGCTGTCACATTGCCATCCGAAAGCAGACGCGAGAAGAGGCGGGCGAGGCTGGGCGCAGATCTCTGATCCCTTGGATCTTGCTTGGGACCCGAGATACGGCTCGCTACCCACCTTCGACGGCGAGCGTCGCCATCGCTGTCAGGGGCAGACCAGGGGCTCACCGAGACTCCCTCCCTCTCAAGCTGGTACCCCGCTAGATGTTGAACCTAGCAACCCTCCCTCGTCCTTGTCCGCGGGAGGGGCAAGGGCGACAGGCCATTCCAATCACTCCGCCGCGTCCGACCGCCTTCTAGGCGTTTTCGGCAGTCCAGCACGCGCTACATGTGTACGGCACCGCCAACCACTAAACAGGCTGCTCCGATCGTCGCGGAAGACGTTGGGCCCCAACTTCGTGTCGACGCGTCCCCTGGGCAGGGTGCACCGTATAGGCGAGGCGGTCAGCAGGCCTTGCCAGAGTCCTATCCTGTCGCCCTTGGCGCTGTACGTTGCGTCCGGTACTGTGCTTGCCTCTCGACGCCTCTTCGACCCCGCCTTTGCGGAGACCCGTCGGAGCATGGTCCAGCATCCGCTCCCCGCCGATAACTCGCCTGGCAAGGTGCACGTACACACACAAACAAGCACCTCTGTCGCTGGCCCAAAACCAGCCATCGTCGTGCGCGCAACACCTGGCCTCTCTTCGATTCGCGTTCGGCGCAATGGGCACGGTAAACAATCAAGCTAGGATACGCCGAGTGACTCTAGCTACGTACATACAGCACCTGCCTGCGTTTGGTGCGGATGAAGTGGAGATGCGGACGAGCCTGGGAACAATCTTCATGCGGAGAGGGCGTCGCGGCCAGCATCAATCATGGCGCCATCCGACGGGCGCTTCCCTTGCGGTACGTCCACACACGACCACCAGCCCCTGGACCACAGTCGAGCAGTCTGGACGTTCTTATCGACATTCTTAATCTCTTTTGTATGGACGGGCTTGCTGCCTTCGCCGAGCTTTCTTTCCCGTCGTAACTCCTCAAAGACGGAGTACGTCCGGACACAATGGTCCTCTTGCATGGCGCGGCAGGCTCTGAAGTACTGCTCCATGTGGTGGCGGATGCTGCCCTGGCCGTACCCTTTTCTCCCCAGCCGCGGGCGGTCCAGGGGGTCAGGCAGAGCGCAAAAGACTGCGCTGGAAGGGGTTCGCGCTGATGGCTTTACGCGGCCGAAAACAACGGCCGGGGAGACAACCGCCGCCGCATCTCAGCCTGCCTGGCCAGTTGTCGTCGACGCCGCGCACGGAGCGACACAGACACACCGTGCTACCGCAGCAGGGCACAGCACGCGGCGGCGATCAGTCCCCCGTGGGAGACAAGCGGTGAAGGGTGTGGCGTGCAGGCCGCCAAGCAGGGCCCGCGTCGCCAACTACAGCACCCAGCCGTCCTGCCGGACTCGAGACACGTCTGCGAGGCCCCAGGGTCTGGCTTGACACACGGCGAGATGACTTCATTCCATCTCGACCGATACGCAAGCTTGCTTCGGCCGGCAGCGCACTGTGAGTTCAACCGACGCCACCGAGTGTGGGTGCAGCGGCATCGCCTGGCAGACTTGCTGGCCGCTACCTCTGCTCTCGATCTCGATCTACTACCGTCAGCGCTGGTATATGGTAGTATGCACTAGGACGCAAGAGCCTGCCTAGTTTGACCTGCGCTAGATGGGAGTCGCCGAACCCTCTTCCACCTGCTGTCGCCTCTTGAGCGTGAATTTCAACGCGAAGCGCCACCACCGCCGCCGCCGTTGCCGTTGCCGCAGCAACAGCAGCGGCAGCGCCACCATCTGTCCCTCATCGGGCCGAGCCGGTCATGGACCGCGACGACCACTCTGCCGTCCGATGATAACGTCGTTAGAGAGCCAGGTCAGCTTTTTTATTTCGCCTCGCTGAGCAGCCCAAAAACGCAAAGACAACGCCTCCTCGGGCTGGTCAAGGACAGGCGTGGTTTAATCGGTTGGCAGAGTAGGCAATGGTTGATACGGTATCGCACTCCGGCGAGGAAGGAGATGGTGCCCTTGAGCAGACTGCGAACATGATGCGGTGCAGATGTGACGACAACGTCGACGGGCGACGGGTGGCGGGCGGCGGGCGGAGCAAGCAAGCGCAAGGCAAGGAAGCCCGTTGGCCACGCGGTGTGAGCCTTCGCCGCTTGCTTGTTGCTTGCCAGGCCAGGCCTGCTTGGTCCCCAGGGTTCAGCGCCAACGTAACGTAACGAGGAGCTCGGCGGGCTGGCTTGCTGGTTGCCTCGCCAGGCCGGCCTGGCCGTGTGCGGGCGTGCGCGGAGGGCGGTGGCGACCA